CCTGCCCGGGCCCCTGCCCCGTCCCGGCCCCGCCTCCGCCACGGCTCGTGCTGTCCTCTCCTCGCTCCTCCACTCGCTCGGGCTCACCCCGGCCCCAGCCCGCGAGGCCTCCCCTCCGCCTGATTTCGCTCGCCCCGGTCCCCGTGTCCCCGTCTCGCCCCGCTCCTCCCTCGGCCCGGCCCGTCTCCAGAGCCTCCCCCCTCCACACTTTCCTGCGCCCCCGGCCTCCCCGCTCCCACTCGCCGTGCTCGCGCCCTCTCCCGGCCTCTGACGGGCTGCCCTCCCACCCACACCTTCCACGCGACGCCTAGACCCCTCGCCCGCCGCCTCCCCTCCGGTCCTTCTCCCCCGCGCCTCACGCCCCTCCTCCCGAGCCCTGCAAAAAGCATCCTTCCCGCCATTTTACTTAACAGGGAGTCGACTCAGGATCTGAAATCAGACACCAATGGACTGGTTTGTGGGCAGAAACACACACACTCGCACTCTCGCTCACTCTCAGACACTGCACACGCGCGCACACACATACACAGTGCACCTAGGTCACACACGGACGTGTTCAAGGGACAGCACAATGTTAGGGATTTTTGTCTTAAAGGAGGACAAGCATCTGCTACTAAACCGCCTCATCTGAGGGCCCAACTGATATAATTTGATTTATCCCTGTATTCTTTCTGCGAACTCCTCTCTTTCTTTCCTCTCCCACCACCCTACCCTCGCCCCAGCCACCTGGTCACATCCATGGAGCCCTCCATTGGCTTGCAAGAGAAGGCTTTTATTTTATCTTACTTTTATTTTCTTAAGCACAACGTGTGAGGGCATTGAAGGGAAGGCTTCTCAGGAGGAACATGCCAGTGGGTCGGGTGGCTGGAGTAGACTAAAGCAGTCATGTGATGAAAAAGAGGTGATCTTACCCATTTTGATAAGTCTTTATAAGGAAGAGTAAAATAAACATGTAAAAAAATTTTCCTTTTGTAAAAGCAAAAGCCACATCTCTTTTCTGGATCCTTCAGGACTGGGGTTTGTTTGCTTCCTTGTCCGTTTCTCTCTCCTCGCTGCTCTGTGCCCTTGGTTGTTTTGTGGTCGTCCTGTCGTCCCTCGTGCCCCTCGGCCACCGCCCTGGCCCCTGCCGGCCGCCGTAGGTGCACGCGGACATCTACAACCCTGCAACTTTGTACAGAGAAACACAATCAGCTCTTTCTGCATGTGCTGGTCAAATCCAAACCCAGAGAACAGAAGCGCTTTCGAAGAATGAACAAACATGTGAAATAGGATGTTTTGTGTAGATAAAGCATTCTTGTTACATACTGGTCAATTTGTGATATGTTTTAACTTATTGTCTGTGCTTATTTATGGAATTTGTTTTCTTAATAAATGTTTGAGCTAAGACAAAGCATATTATTTGACTTTTCCGGACAAGTTTATATCAAGTTAAATGTAAATGGATAAAATAAAATCATTTTCAGTATGTGATATGGAGAAGGATGGGTTTGGTGTGACTTTGAATGGCGGCAGAGGTCTCATGAGGGGAGAGAAACAGAGCTCGTCCTGGTGGTTCTCAATTCGCGCTCAACGGGCGGGATCCCGCGTTGGGACCGTCCGCCCTTCAGAGGCCTTGGGTTCGGCTTCCGAGATGCACGGCAGCCCAGGCAGCGCTGCCCCAGGGCATCCGGCGGAGGCCGACCTCCAGCGCGGCCCGCAGGCCGGAAGTGAAAAGGCCAGGCCCAGAGGGCCTCACGCGAGCTCGACGCCTCGCGAGGCTTTGGGCCGCCCGGGGCTTCCCGAGACGGGCCTCGTGGCTCAGCCGCCGGCGCTAAAGGCGGGGCCCGAGAGTTGATGAGCTGCTGGGCCCACGGAGTCCTTCCGACGAGGGAGTGGAGGGCGGCCTCCGCCGGGCTGCGTGCGCAGATGGGGAGTAGGTGGGCAGGAGGGAGGACCGCCGCGAAGGGAGCGTGGGGACCCGGAGCCGCGTCCGGGCCCGGGTGCGCGGTGGACGAGAGGGGCCCGCGCTCTGTCCAGCCCTGGGCCCGAGGGCTCGGGCTGCCCGAGGGAGCGACCGTCCCTTGTGTGCGCAGATCTAGGCTTGGCCTCAGAGACCCGGGACCTCCCAGGTGGGGGCAACGGGCACGTGCGAGGAAGAGTGCCCGGGACGACCTGCTGCGGGTCGTCCCTCCCGGGCTGTCCCCTACCCCACACCCGCGGTTTTCTCTGGGTCCATTCTTGGTGCCAGCTAACTCGAATTTAGCCATGTGCTCAGGGGACCGCCCCAAGCTTACTAGCGGTGAAAATTGCTGTTTCTTCCGTAGTCCAAGGGGGAAGGTTGTGGGTGTGTTTTAAACTTGGAGGCGAATCGATACCACAGGCTTCCTTTGGAAAACTAACCAAATCAGTTTTGTGATTTGAAATTTAATGTTCATTATAGGCAAAGGCACCCTTTCCCATGGGAAGAGTTCTCATTTGGTTGCTGCAGCTGTAAACCTTCAGAACACCCTTAGGACACCAAAGTGTCCTAGAACAGTTTCTACCGCTGGGCTACGTGTGAATTTTAGGAGCTGTTGTAATTGTTGCTTAACTAAGAGAACGCAATGGAATCTCCTCAAAGGTGAGGACAAAAGGGCATGATTTTCTATGATAAAGAAAAATCATATGTTCATGTTACCTTAGGAATTTTAATTAGAGGTAAAATTGGGTGGGTTCACAATATATTTCATTTCTACATTTTCTAAGAGGATGTATTTGATGTAACGTTAGAGTATGAAAGTAAGAAGATAAAAACACGCTCATTTGGGTTTTCATATAAAAATAGAACATTTCTGTATTTATAACTCACCCTAGAATTTAGGAGGCATAACCAAACCTCTAAAATATCTGTGGATGAAAAACACTTTTCCTTGTCTTTACATTTCATCATATTCTCCCTTATCTTAGATTAGTGCTTTTTTTTTTTTAATTTGAAATTGTGGATACTGTAATCTCAAGTCGTATTTAAGAGATCAGTACAAATCACAGATTGCTTCACCAGTGAGCATGGAAGGTTGTTTACAAGGATGCTAATTTTACAGCTTTTTTATGCTGCTATAAAGCATAACTTTATGATGTAGGAATGCAATAAAGGATGCTAAATGGAATCTTTAAAAATTGTATTTCTCAAAGGCAAGGGAAATGGGATCTTTCATTTGAAAAAAAATGGGCCAACTCAGAACACTGATGAGAAGTTACAAATCAACTGAAGTGATAGATGCTTTCAAAGATACTTATAATTCATAATATGGAGGTTATTTATCAATATTATAATGAAAGTGTACAGAGTTTGTCACTTGACCTGACTCTGGAATAATATTTGTTTCTATGGCAATAGATTTTTGTATTAAGAATCCCGAACATTTTAATGTCATATATGCCATTAACATAAGGGAAGGCAGCCTGGCCTAAATTGTTAAGGTTGACAGTTTAGCAAAGATAAAAAGAGAATGAAAATCTCAATCACAAGGCTGAAAGATTTCTGCATTTTGAGGGAGAAAAAAAAACACAACAGAATATTGCTTCATATTATTTTTTAGTCCTTAGCAATTCTGACTCAAAACTGTTAAAGTTATAATAACAACTAATTACATTCAGTAAGGGAATAAAGACAATAAGGATGAGTAATATCAAAACACAAGGTAGATAAGTACAGCATGTTAGATGTCCTGCTTCTAATGAATTATACTTTTTGCTGAGTAGCCTGTTTGGCATTGAATATTGTCACCACACTCTAGCTAGAAAAAGTCAAAGTATATTATGATGTAACTATGTGATTGATTTATTTGAATACACATATTCATCCTTGTATCTTTATCTTCTCCTCAGTATCGGTACTATCTTACGTGGCATACAACTGATGGCATGGAAATGATGTTGCACTTGGTTTACCTTTGGTTGATGGTGGAAGAAACAGGATACAGAAAGTCAACCTGATAAAGATGATGTTAGGTATTGAATACAAAATAGGATGTGGAGCAATTTGGGTAAATCAAGGTAGATGTGAATGGAGAATACAGAGGAAGTTCTAACTTTGGAGAAATTTATGTTTGATGCCCTCAATGACTGCTTGCCCTGAAAATGAAAATGTTTTTAATTTGTGTTGTGGACTTTACCTTTTAATTTTTAGGATAAAGGAAATGCTTAGCCCACCAAGATGTGTCTTCTAGTAATGGCAGTAGTTAACCTGTCAGTTGAAAGAATGTAACCTTCCTTTTCTCCTTTTCATGACATAAAGGTAATCTCATCTGAGGGCATTTACGTGAAGAAATAACAGCATGGCATGGTGAAACGACTGGCTCATTAATCCTGGCATCTACTTCCTACAGGGTTCTTTGATTAGTTAGATTCATTCATCGGGCATTTCGGAATTTTTGATTTGTTACCATTGGCTAGGTTCACTGAGTTCAGGCTAAATTGAGCCAGAAGCGATGTTTATTAGTAATTTTGTAGTACAGGCTACCCTAATAATTCAGCCCAAATATCTCATCTGAAAAATATCCATTCACCCTTGCTGCTAATGTGGGTTGCAGCTGTGTTCATAGGGAATTGACAGAACACAAGTGATTGGGCATGTATTTTCTAAATTATTAATATGGTGGCTAATAGCTGTAAACCCATCTTCGTATCCAGTGCTGAAA